GATGGAATTAAGACGCCCGTTGGAAAAGCGCGATGTTCATCCCGGATGCTGTAGGGATATTCCATAAAGTTTTCATTAATCTCGGAAGTATACGTACTTTCGTAAAATTTCAGTCCGCCTTTTCTTCGTGAGGATTCAAAGCGCGTAATTGCGGAATGTGCATTTAATGTTGAGGATTAAATTTGGCAAATTAAATTATGCGAATGATTTTTATAAAATTGTTAACCTTATAAAAAATAGATTACTCAGTTGAATTTTTGTTAAAAATTTTTACGGAAAAATTAACTTTAATAATTTTATTAAATGGTGAGTAAAAAATTGCGATTTTTATGATAGGTACCTTATACAACTTCTATAAAACTATATGTTTTTTCTCGACTTGAATCGTACGCTAATTATCGAAATAAGTATATCGGGCATTAATTAAAAGTCTAAAACATCAAAGAAACTTTCGCAAGTACGTTTGAACGTCGTTGCCACGTTTACCTTCAGGCACTATCTCGGGAAATTAATCGTTGCATGCGTTGCGGTCAGAATTTTTAACCGTCCAAAACCACCGATACGCGGTTGCCGATAATCGATTAAGCGCGATTTATCTGACTCAGCGGACGTACCTGTTATTAAACAAACCGGAAACCGTCCCGATCCTAGCGTTAATTTCGCAGGGACATTAAAAAGGGATCGCGGTTGAGCGAAATTTTGTGAGTGTCAAGAGAATCGTAAAATTCTTCCCACACATAATAATTTTATCACTTCATATGTGGATTCAATAATAATTGATGAAGTATTCTGTGCGCCATGTACAATTGCAATAAATAATAGTGTATTAAAGATTTGTCATGTTGGTTCATATGTCTTTTTATAAACAATATTTTTGGTATAAATATCTAATATTTTTATAAAAAAAATTAATGCTTTTTTAATATATATGTATAACAAATTATGAAATGCTAAATGATGTAAGTTTATTTTATTATTTAGAAACGTTCAATTAACACAGCTTATTTCGTAATGTCGATATATCGTTTAACGCAGATTACTGTAATTTAATATGATCGTGTATTATATCGATCACGAAAATTAACGCGTTATTAAAAGCAACAATCTTAATTATCAACTTTCCCTAATCTACTTTTTGTCCTTAATTCACCTCTTGCGTTCCTCGTAATTGCCACGATTGTTCTCTCCGAACGTTTTAGAAGACTCGTTTAACGGTTTACATAATTCACATGATGCATTTACTCCGCACGTGCCGAACGGTATACGGTGTTAAGCGAATTCACGTCCGATGCGATAACAGTACTCGCTAATTATATCTCATAATAATTCGTGCGTCACACACACACGTATACATTGTACATTGCTGAATCTATTTCATAGCTCATCATTTTCGTGGCGTTCCTGATTGCCCGCGCACCCTTAATCCACACAGACTCTCAGGATTATTTATCTTCGTTACGACTCGCAAGGCTTGACCCTAACTTGAGCGCGCTCTTAAATCAAAAAAGAAGAAAGAAAGAGAAGATAGAAAGTTTTCAACGCTAAAAGAGTGATTGTCGCCAAGAAAAGACCACGTTCTACCCCCCCTCTCTCTCTTTGCAATCTTCTCTGCTGGTATAGTCCTGGATTATCGCGCGGCGGATTATCGCAGCTCGCTTGACGCATCAGTATCGACTGGCCTGAACTTTCTCGGGAACTTTCTCGGTTACTTCCCTCGTTAGTCGACGAGTGCATATAACCGAGACACGGAGCTTCTTCTTTCCATTCTTTTTCGCCTTCAACCCCTTCGGTCTCCGCTGCTTTCTATCTCGTTTCCTTCACGGTGCGTGAGCTAAGCGCGTCCGTTAGCTAGAAACTAGAAACGTCGTTTCGTCTCGTTTCCTTCTCAACCCATCGCCGGCGTGTGTCAACCGGCCGTCTACCCGCGACTTTTTTCACCTTCTTTTCCTCCCGTCCGTTTTCTATATTCTTCGTAGCTTTCTCCTCTCTTTTTCTTTCTCCTCCTTCTCTTCCTTCTTCTTCTCCTGTACCGAATTCCGAATCGGATGGAAACTCGAGGACGGTCGGTGAACCCGAAGTCGCGATCGGAAAGTAGAATCGATCGTTCGGGGTTCCGATGGGAAATTATCGTCGGGAAATTGGTGGAATTGAGACAACGGAAGAGTGGACTTAAATCCGGGATATATACCACCACGGGGGTGCTGCTGGGAGTTTCGTATAGCTAGTAGTCCAGAAACGTATCGCTCGAACGAATCTGATCACTTAAAACCCCGATTATCAATGCCTCGAGGGTTCCTGTGAAAAAGAATCGCCTTTAAACTCGTCGAACGTTCGGTTATATAAGACTATATGTAGTATATACACGTCTAAAACGTAAATCACTTTCTCTCGGATTTGATGCCGCTAGACCGGAAATTAATCATCATGCGACGATCGTGCTCGCTCGCGCGACTCGAGCTCCTTCCCGCGACATGGTATCGCTCTCTTTTCTTCGTAATCCCATTTTCCCCTTCATCAACAGTGGCACTTCCTCTAATGGCGTCCCGAGAAAAAGATACTCAATTATTATGGTAAGCTACATTATATATTACGCGACAAGAAATTTTATTCTACGAATCTCTCCATAAAGTTAAGAAGCTGCCGAGCTTTAAAAATCTATCAAGTCCAAGACGATAATTATTAATGAGCAAGCTCTCTGTATACTCTTAGCCCAATGACAGAATAATTCAAAAATTATTAGCTGAAAAGAAGACAACGTTAATTCTTATGTGTGTGGGGGGGGGGGAGGAACGCATAAAAATATAAAATATAAATATAAAATATAAAATTAAGTTATCCGGTCAAATCTGTTTTTTTTCCACAAAAATAACAAGCCACATTTTTTAGGTCTTGAAAAATCGAGATAGAATTCGACACGACACAATTGAAATTAATCTGATTTGGAGAAATTATCAATCTGAATTTAAATATAACTTTGTTCTAATCTATAAATCAAAATGTTCTTTCTTTTACCTTTTATTTGTTTGTTAAATTTAATAATATGGAATTATTCACGTTCTTTTTTTGTTGTGGTTAGATTTGGTGCGCGACGTTCTGCTTTCTAATGATATACCGGTAGCGATTTTTCCGTCGTATTGTTTTAGGGATGTCCGCGCGCGATCGCGGACGAATCTAACGCCGATAAGAAAGCTATGACTGACGTCTTCATTGTTCGGCTGAAAATCCGCCGCCGGACAATGAGAGGCTATTCGTAGCCGGGGCAACGAGCAGAACAATACTTGTCGGCACAAATATTGCTCGTGCACCGCCGCTACTTTACGTTGGTTTCTTACAATGAAGTTCAGCAAGGCTGAATGCATTATAATCTTTGGGTTACTCGACGATAAAATGGTCCAAATCGAGTCACAAGACGCGTATAAAAAACGAAACGCAAACGTAGAATAAATTATTGCGGATATTAAAAACAAAAATAAAACAAATAAATTGTTTGATGAAATTTAAAGAAATTATTTGAAGGGCAATTTTATTTTACGATATTTGTCTATTTTTATATTGATTTTATTTGCATTTAAAACAAAAATATATAAATAAATCATTTAATTATTCTTTAATAATTTATTCGTATGCTATTATAAAAATTTTATTTTTAAAAAGTCAGTCTATGATTTATTGATTGACCTCAAAATTATGGAATTCTGAGAACGTGAGATGATTGTATAGACACAATATATTATCACGCATGTATAATGTATTAACACACGCACACAAATGATTAATAAAAGAAAAATTTATAAAAATATATCTCCTGTTACAGGCACACATGAACATGTATAACTCCGCGTAAATTTGTTTTATTTTATTGCGCGCATCATATATCACTCTATTTCTAAATTTGTGAGCTGTCCATATTTGTACGCGATCCAATATTTGCCGCCTGTCGATTGCCGTTTTGTAATTTCGAATGCACAACTTTCGGAAGGACAAATCGAAACGACGTGACGAAATTACAACGTTAAAATTCGTTCGCTTGTTTCGTTCGAACGCCTGCTCCGACGATTGCGATACTCTCTATGTCTGATTAATCATCACGCCGCGTACGGATATTGTTAAATTATAATTGACTCATTATTATGCGATCTCTCTTTCTCTCTCTCTCTTTTTCTCTCTCGTCTATAGGTACGCTAACGAATCGATTGATCTGAGCGAAACTATATATTGAAATTATTATTTACGAAGAATCACAACAGAACGGAACGTAACTCATTGAAGTCGACATTAATTAAGATAACGCAATTTGCAATTTTAAAGGATCGACGTGCGTTTGTGACGAAATACAGCAATATAAAATTAAATATTATAATGCAAGGGGCAAAAACGAAATTCCAACATGCTCGTGAACAAATTTTTAATAGGTTGTTACACTCTGCGATGTGAATTATGTGGCTTACACGTCGAACGATGATTACGTCAAAGTGAACTGTGAATTTTAATTAAATCGTGCGCGCGCGCTCAATGCGAAACGTGTGTGCTCGCTCAAGAATATGCGGCGGTTCGGAAAATGGTGCGTGTCGGAGATTTGATTGCTATTATGGAGGAGTGTGACTTTAACGGAGACGACACCATAGATACGGACTCCTTGGAGTTCGAGGTAAACACGACACACATAGTTTTACAGTTTATGAAAACCGTAGTAATAAAATCTACCTACGCAATAATAATCCATCTGGCGGCGATCACTTTCTATATTTGCTTACAATAAATTAGTCTTACTTGCGAAATGGAAATCTTGTAACGTAATGAAATTATCTTAATATTGCGTCACATATTTCTTAATCAAGTTATATCAAAGATTTCTCGTAATAAAAAAATTGACAAGATATTTTTTAGATATTCTTACTTATTGATATTAACGTATGTTTATATAATATTATTTATTTTATTTATATCATATTATATATATTTGTAATATTAATGTATCACATTCTTCCATGTTTTTAAAGGCTACGCAGTTGCCGACATGCCCCAAAAAGTTGGACTTGTGCAAGGCAGGCTTATCAAGGGTCCCCGACAGCGCGATTGCTTTCCCAGCAATAGAGGAGCTCGCATTAGGATGCAACCAGTTCACTAACGTTGATAACAATCTGAAGCTTCTGCACAGGTACACTTTCTACATCCATAGCACATTAATAATACAAAAAAACTTATTTAGTTCTTTCATTCGGTTTTCATGACTTCTAATTTTCTCCTATCATTGCGCGATTAAAAAAAAGTTAAGTAGTGGCCGAATACCCTCCGACTTTAATTTAATTTAGAGATTAATAAGAAAAAGAACTGATAAGAAAGACAAAAGGAGAAATTAAATTAATTCTTGCGGAATATCGAGAGTAATTAGAACGCGGATGGATTAACCTTCTTCTTTGATAAGAGTAATGAAAAGCGTATGAGTATCCGCACAAACGCGGCGAGACTGGAGGGAAACTTTAATTGGTAGTTAATTCGTAACTCACCATTCCTCTACACAGGTTTCCCAAACTTCATGCCGTCCATCTGGAGAGCAACGATCTCCACAGAGTCCCGAGGGAACTGCTGGAGCTGCCCGCGCTGACCTACCTTAATCTCTCGGACAACAAGATCGAGATAATTCCAACTGATATCTGCCGGCTGATCAAGTACGTGTATAACTTTATACTTACGTATTTATCTACCTGTTTTGCCTGTAAGAAAAATAGATTAAATTAATAATCCCCACTTAAATGGAAGAGATCTTCTCGCTTGTTTATTCTCCATTATCAGAAGAGATTGATGCTTATCAGACATGCATAGCAGATATCTGTAAGATCGTTTTATCTGTGTTATATCACTTGTTTCTTCTTTAAGTAGACTTTGATTAAAGCATTGTGATCGATCGTGCTTTTTATCCTAGAGAGTGTTATAAGAAAACATGCTCGTGATAATCGGCTCCTTAAGAATCCTGACTCGTTTCTTTCCAATTATTTCTTTATTAGCGGTCACTGCAACGGGATATATATTTTATTACACATTGTCAGCACGGAGGGTCGTATGCATTAATGTGCCCGTGGTTAAATTTTCCCTTCGTATAACCTGATTTATGCGCGTCGATCTACGAGTACAATTAATTACCAACACATTAATCACGCGCGCTATTGTCGATCAGCGCTGATAACGGGCTCGTGTGGAGAATCAACGCGCGTGATAATGATCGAATAGTGCTGTTAATTCTCCGGTTTCCCGAAAAACGTACGACGGCTGCCGATATGAGAACTCGAGAAACATATAATATCGATTATTGAAAATTGTACAATACATCAAAATGATTTTAGTCCTTCCGTTCTCCGCAAATGGAGAGTCATGTATTGAATAATTAAAGTATTGTATAGCCAAAATGTATAAATTTCTTTGGAAATGAGTTCTAAATGTGTCCACTATAGTCATTGTTTCTTCAATTTATCAAACAAATTTTTAATCATTAAACAAAAATAAAAATAATTAAATAATTATTAGTTGCATGATAACATAAACACCATTTTGCTTCCTCATAGAGGAAGCTTTTTTCTTCTTCGTGTTACATTCTTTGTCCAATTTATAAGACTATGTAATTTGTGCTTTAGAATACTTCAGCATCATTGTGTTCGAGATATTATAAAGATCTCACGAAGAAATGATAAGTTTCTTAGTTTCGCGCAACTTTAAGACAACGCAAAAATTTGATTTTGCGAGGGGGGAGCGCACAATCGAGACGCAGATTACGTAAAGTTTCTCGAAAACCGCTTTCCACCGACCGGAAATGAGGATGCCGAGGGGGGCGGAACTACGGGGTGTGAACACGACGATGTCGCTGCACGCGCGCACACACGCATGGAAGGTAAAAGTGCTTCTCGCACAGGTTCGCCGGTGAGCTCAAAGACGAATTTAGTCTTGATGATCATTACGGATAGGAGACACCCCTTTCTGCCCCTCACCCACTTTTCCGAGATGGTTATTTAGATAAACGAAAATCTCCGTTTAACCGCCATCAGGGGCATAATCGACGCAAGTTAATGTAGCTTTAGTGCATCCCTGACCTCTTTTTCTAAATCTAAACAGAATCTACACAATGTTAGAAGATACATCTGATGTCTACGATATTCCTTATCTAAATTCTGAAATATTATTTTTATTTTTCTCAATACCGCCAAGCAATTTTCAATTTATTTTGCAAAGAAACAAGCGGACTGCGTCTCTGATTGAATCCACGCGTTTCTACATTTCGCGTTTCTACATTTGATTGAATCCACGCCTGCTTCCTAAATATTTCCATTTTCTAGAAATATAATTTCATAGATATCGTAAAATTAAAAAAAAAAACACCAAACTCTACGTAAACACAAAGAATTGTATTTGCCTAGTTAATATATTAGTATTACTAGAAATTACGAAGACGAATATGAAATTGAATGCTTGTTTTTCTCTCGAAACGAGTCTTCACGCGCCGATGCTTTCGATTACGAACCACAGCGGCGTGGCGCAGTATTTCTGGAAATTTACGTTCGTTTAAAATTACGAGGGTCTCGCGAGATCTAATTGTCCGGGATGAAACACTCGCCAGGCCAGACATAAGTTTCATAGACATTCACCTCTTCTTGGCTCGCGTGCGCCGGTTTCCACCTGAGCCTCGCCGTCTCGCGCCACTGCCTCGACGTACGACTCCTGCATGGTGTTGCCTAACCCCGTTCCACCGCAGGAAGAGTCGGGGCACTTTAAGGCAATTTTGCATGATTCACTTTCGACGATCGTGTCAAACGAAGCGCCCAAAAACGAGAGAAAACCGAATCTGAATTTAAGATTATACGGCTATAGCGCGATAACGCGAGTGCTTCCGTCGTTCCGGGCACAGTTGACCCAGATATGAGAACAAAAGGTTCTCCAAAGATAAAAGACCTTACGACGAGGATCATAAAGACTTGGATCTTTATAGGTTTTCTCGTATAATTAAATTCGCTTTTCATTTAAACACACTCGCTGATAACGCAGTTAATTCCCTTGTGCTAAAATCGTCTCGCTATTCATACAATATAATAATGGCATTATTACGTCGGCTTTTGAACAATTTGAATGTCCAAAATAGTTCTGAATTAAGCGTATTAAAGCACAAATATTCCTGAAATTATCCTGCGTCCCGGAATATTCAGGCGGATTTCGACGGATGGGCATTTGTGTCGCCCACATATCGCGCATTATGCTTCAAACGGCATAATTTGGCGACGTTATTCACGCGGAATTAAGGTATTATATGTAACGAGGATTTCACCGGCTAGGCCGACCATCGCTGATGTACTTACGGTCTAAGCCAAGCCACGGCGCATTATCGCTCGGTCCCGCTTCGTACACCGCGGCAGACAATTTCTGTTCTGTTACATCAGAGTGGTCAGCCAACCCATCCTCGGTTTTGCCTCCCTCTTCTTCCCTCGCCACAAGACGGTATCCTCAAGAGGAATAAGTTCGCCTTTCAACCGACCTCTTTAGTCCTCGGAAGAGCCGCCGCGAGTGTGCATCTCCGGCCGCGAAAATCGTGCCGCGAAAAGCCGCGGAGATCGCTTCCGAGTCGCCGCCGGAAATCCCGTGGTCGAGGAGATGGTCGGCGAAACTTTTCAGTCGATTAAACTCCTTAAAGTCCGCGCACGTCCGTGGGATCAGTGTTAAAAATCGGATCGTTGTGTCGGAAAAATCTCAAATCTGAGGAAATTTAGGTCTCACCACGCAGGATACTTTACGCGTTCGATGGTGAAAGTTTTTTGCATGTGTGGCGTACGATTCACAATTTACAAAATTCGCCTCGTAAAGTGATAATATCGTTCGCAGCGAGGACGTAATGTCCTTTACAGTGAGCCAAGATGTTCCAGGACTTTGCGGCATTCGGAGAGAACGTAATATTGAGGAAAAAATCGTTAATATTGAGGGATTTTTAACATCTATACAGTATATCATTGTGCTTTTATATAACGCGTCTTTATTCAATATAAAAAATTTTACAAAATAAAACATTATAAAAACTAATGTAATAAAACAAATCATGCCAGATACTTGTGGCGAAAAGTTTTAACATCTAAATATTTCTCTACGCATGTATGATATATTATGAAAACGACAATAGAAGAAAAGAATTCACAAAAATGAAATCTGTGGAATACGTATAAAACGAGTATATTCTTCGAACAATATTGCTTGATAACAATCATATCTACCGAGCGTACCGAAGAAAGTACTTCGGTACTTGAACACTGCCTCGCTCTTGAGTGAATGTGTGCGCAGCAACATCACAAAGCAAGAAGTGCCAAACCAGGTGAGAAATAACGAGTGCACATTCTAAAATAAAGCGGCGATAGCTTCATAGACGCTATTAATATCACGATTACATATTTACGATCTGCCACAATCAATATTTATAACGTTTTAATTTTTTCGCACCGTATTTTTATTCGTAATCTCTGCAATTATTATTTTTTCAATTATTGTCGGTGTTATTTATTGATAACTTATACACAGAATTATTTAAAATATTTTGCAATCGTGAATATTCATTTAAATCTTTTCGAAATATTTGTCAGTTCAATATTCCTGTACTTTCTCCTTTTTATATTACTATAAGGATACGATGTTTTAAGTATTCCTTTAAAACTTTTTTAATTTGTGAAGTCTTGAATTTTTAATTGCATGTATATCGCGAAAACTATTAACATCTTCACGTTTTTTTGGAGGATCAATTACAAATTGACTTAATGATTAAGGTATTAAACAAAAAGAACATGCAAAAAATTTTGTTAAGGTATATTATATATACTTAATTAGGTCTCAACAACAAAATAAAAATTTCAAATTTTATGCCAGATTAAACGTGTTTATTGATAAGAACCGCTACTTCTCTTTGATGGAAAAATCGAAAGTCTGTCCGATGACACAGATGCTTACTGCAACGAAGGTTTTCACTATAATTCGAAACTTTCTACTCAAGTGCACATCCTGTGGGCGGCTCGCTCGTTTAGGTTCACCGACTCGCGTGTCCGAAGCTTCGGGATACGATTCACAGTAGCTAAAAACTACACTGCTACTACGTCGCAAAAACTATAATTTACGAATGAACTCTTCCAGATACAAATTCTTCCTTTATTAGTATCTTAAGAAAAAATTATCAAGAATTTTCTAGAAATAATTTTATCAAACTATCCTGCGAAAAATAAACGAGTCGAAACTCTTTTATTTTATATTATATGCAGTATAATGATATTTTTTGCCTTTTTCAATTAATTTATATTTGTGTAATACATTTTTTATACGGTATCAAAATTTTATAATTTATAGTACCAAAAATAAAAATACATTAATTGTAAGGAAAACAAACGAACTTAGTTAAATATGAGAAGAACATAAATTAAGCGTACACGTTAACTTAAAATCAAGTTAGGTTCTTTGGTTCTTAAATAAAAAAATAATAACTAAAAGTTATACTAAAAATATTAACTTTTAATAACACCTGAGTCTGTTAATTTCTTCGATGTAATCTTTACTTATTAAACATAACATCATCACTATGTTGCAGTTTGAAAGAACTGATCCTTGACCGTAATGCCATCAAGAACCTACCGGATGAAGTGACACGGCTGAGAAACCTGAGGAATATTTCCCTTGTCGGAAATTTACTCAACACCGTACCATTCTTTTTCAACATGCGAGCTCTCACTCTGACAGTAAGTTAGACTATCTTCCATAGCGTAATAAATAGTTAATAATAAATTACGCTTAATGCCAAGAACTCTTTATGTGATCTATAAGTTGATAAGAATTGTACGAGGCAAGATGTAAATTGATAAGTTACTTCTGACAAAAATTCAAGATATGTTTCTTTAGAATTTTATATATCATGTAACACAGAACACGTTTGAAAAAAAACGTAAATTATAATGTATTAGGTGCATACAAAAATATTATGAATCTTAGATCACAGATGTCTGAAATTGATTTGATGTTGAATAGATAGATTATAAAGCGATAAAGTTTACTAAACTTCTAGTAAAAGTAACACTATTGTAAGCTTCTAGTGCGTGAATTCTAAGCTGCTTTTATTATTGATTTGTTCAATTCGTCCTTGAACCTTATAGCTTAGCTTAACTATTCACACGAGTCTGACACATAAACATTTCATTACTGACTATACCTATTATTGATTATACAGGCTACGACAAAAATGTGTTTTACTTGTAATATTGTGTCGCTTTATTCGAAAATAAAGCGACACAATATTGCAAGTAAAACACATGTTTTTTTCATGGCAATTTGGATAAAAATATCCAAAAGATTTTTATTACATTGTTATTAATATCTTTTAACTACTTAACTCCTTTAACTCCTATTAAATCTTTACGGTTAAGATAGCTTGTAATAATAGAATTAGCTATATATCTTCCTAGATAATTTATTTTTGAATTAATTTATGACCCAGTTTTCACTGGGTACCAAAAAAATTATTATAGACTCATCAATTGTTCCCCTCCACGGAAATCTTTAGTAAAAGGCGAAAGATTTATTCGTGTATTGAAGGGAAACCAGAGTATTGAATTGAAGTCATAACACTCCTTATATACACAAGAGACCGAATTTTACTTACGAGAGACATTCTGACCTGATAGACCTCTCTCGGCCATATCTAGAACTAAACGTTCAGTAATGTATAGGGTGTCCCACTTTAAATGATCACTCTTCTCCAAAATTTTTATTTTCTTGCAATTTTAGAAGAAAATGTTTTAGACAAAAGTTGTATAGTTTGGAGGGGAACAAATAATGGTGAAATCAATTTTCGAAAAAATCTAGTTTTGAGGATTACGTGAAAATTATCTTCATTTTTTGTTATGGAACACTCCATTTTTTATAACAGAATTTTGTAGCTGATGTTGAGATGTTTCCAACGATCTATAATAGTTAATATTTTTGTTGAGAACTTGCGGAGATATAATCGTAAAGTATCAGAAAATCATATCTCCGCAAGTTTTCAACAAAAATATTAACTATAATTATAGGTCTTTCAAAACGTCTCACATCTGCAGCTACGAAATTCTGTTATCAAAAATAAAGTGTTCCATTCAAAAAATTGAATGATTTTTACGTAATCCTGAAAAATTGATTTATTTTTAAATTGATTTTGCTATTTGTTCCCCTCCCCTTAGTCTGAAACATTTTCTTCTAAAATTGAAAAAAATAAAAACTTTAGAGGGGTAATCGTTTACAATAATGTTTATAATAAAACATTATTATATGCGCATGGGCTTTTAAATTTAAAATAAGTTCTAATTACAAATACAAAAGCAAATATTCTTGTTTAATTAACTTTTTTTATATAATAAAATGTTGATTCTCTGAATTCTATAAATCATGGCTTTTCAAAATTTATCAAATTTATTTATTTACATGGAGTTCTTAGCAAGTAATCGTAACATGTAAAATATAATATAAAGTATTATTCAATTATTATAATTAAAAATAATTTGTTTTTAATGTATAGTAAGATTACATTAACTTAATTAAAATTATAATTATGTTATAACATACGATCATGTGTATTTTTAAAGTATTGTATTATTAAAAAATAAATCATACATTCCTTGTAAATTTATGTCTTATCTGAAAATATTTAATAATAATGCAATATAAGATATAAAGAAAATAATCCAACATTCTGTTGCTAAACATTAATGTTTATACTTGTATATAGCTTTAAGCAAACTACACAAACAAAAATTTATCTTATTGTGTTGTCAGTGTAGCTTAATAGAATAATTTACTATGCACTTGCATTACAAATTAAAAATAATTTATTATAAACATTAATGTTAGTCATATTAGTGAAATATCATGTATAATACTTATACATGAAGATATGATTTAGAAAATAATGATAACACCATATAACTTACTATCAATAGTTGCTACAAGAAAGAAAAAATATTTGTACCTACTAAAATTTTTATTTTACTTGTAATCTAAAAAAACAATATTATTAATGATTTATTTAATAATTCAGTTTAATTTACATCATTTACTTGTTTCAAATCATTTATTAACACTATCTATTTAATAAAAGATTACTTTTATAATACATTACAGTTAATAATATATAAATACACAATAACGTTCATTGAGAATCGATGTCTAATATTTTATATTACGTTGTGAAATAATACAGTTATGATAGAAACTTGATGATAGACAAATACATAAAAAGAATGTTCGTAAATAGGATAATCTCTCCGTCATTGCTTTAGACAATACTTTAAAAATACACATGATCGTATGTTACATAATTATAATTTTAATTGAGTTAATGTAATCTTACTATACATTAAAAACAGATTATTTTTAATTGTAATAATCAAATAATACTTTATATTGTATTTTACATGTTACCTGCTACAAACTCACAGAACTTGCAACTCGCCCATTGATATTTGACTATACCAGACAGCCCAGACAGCATTGAGGCTACGGTCAATGTGACGCTACAAATGCTTCGAAGCATTCCTCTTCTCTTTTCTTTCAATGAAGAAAGAAAGAGAAGAAGAACGCTTCAAAGCATTTGTAGCGTCACGTTGACCGTAGCCTGAGTTGTCATGAATCATGGTAATAGGGATGCTATGCCTATTATATATTTCAGTCCTAGAGGAAATTACTCGGAGAGCCATTATCGTAAACACCTATGATAATCTATTTTCCTAGATAATTTAATTTTGGATTAATTTATGACCCAGTTTGCACCGGGTACTAAAAAAAATTGTTATAGACTCATCAAGTTGCTCCCCTCCACGGAAATCTTTAGTAAAAGGCGAAAGATTTATGCGTGTATTGAAGGGAAGCCAGAGTATCAAGCCCAACTTATAACACTCCTTATATACACAAGAAACCGAATTTTACTTACAAGAAACTGTCTAACCGAATGGACCTCTCTCGGCCACATTTACAACTAACACAGCATCCAATTCTTTACAGTCCTTACATGTGACCTTCACATGTAAGGTTGTTCTTTAAAATAAGTTTTCAATCACAAAAGCAAATATTCTTGTTTAATAAAATTTAAAACAAAGAGAAAAACATATTGCTGAAGTTTTTCTGTACATTTGTTTATTAATTAATTATTTATTAGATTTTTTAAAGATAGCAAAATTTAGATTCTTTGAATTTTACAAATTATGGCTCCGCAAACTTTTTCAAATTTTTATTTTTATGATAATTCACAGGAAGTTCTGTCGAAGACAGATCACGGAAAATCTTATAAGGATGAGAAAACTAATCATAGCAATTTGCACAAGATCAATCTGAGGAACAATCAGCTGAAGGGAAACATAATTTTGGGAAATTACGGTGTAAGTTTATAATTACTAAATTTTTATTTTGTTTTATTTTCATATACTTGTTTTTTCTTTCTAATTCATTAATTTATAAATATAATAAAGCGCTTTTTCGAAAAAAGTAGGGTTAAGAAATAATTAATGTCAACTTGACATTTATTTTCTTTTTCTCTTTTTGCGTACAAAGAATCTGACGCATCTGGACGTGAGCGAAAATAGCATTGAAAAATTGGACATCAGTGCTTTGCAAGAATTGAGAAGCGTACGCTGCGGACGAAATCATTTAACGGAATTAACACTATGCGGCCGAAATCTTGTATCACTTATCGCTGGAAACAATAGTGAGTGTAGAATTTCATATACATTGTGACGAAATGTATAATGTACATATATTTTTTATTGATCGTTTAATTTTAATATATCGAGAAAGAACAAGTAAAAGCATTAAATTAGAATCAAAATAATTATTTCTTTTTTTTATAGAATTGAAGAAACTAACCGTCGAACCTGTGCCAACTAATTTGGAGCATCTGGATGTCTCCTAGTGAGTGAATGCAATATATATCGACATTAAATCTAAAAATTATGAAATATTATTAACTAATCTTAAAAATTATTAATCGCTCCATGAAACTCTATCTTGAATCTATTTTGTATATTTTAAGTTCTCTTATTGTTTTTTTTTTATTCTAGTACTACTTACTACTTTAGTTGTTTTAGGCTAAAGACGAAAGATCTAAAGATAATCTGCAATTTATTTAATACACGCTGTTTAATAGCAATTAAATACATTTTAGCAAGTCATTTAATATGTCATTTAATAATATATTAGTAGATTTTAGAATGTTTTTTTATTATTTAATCTATTTTTATTTTACGTGAAACCTGTATTTGTTTTTTACTTCTCTCAGCAACAATTTAGACGCATTACCGGAATGGACGACTGAACTGCCAGCATTGCGCGTCCTTTTCGCATCACACAACGCTCTCACGGCTCTCCCGGACAGGTTGTTGTCGCAACCCTCGAGACTGGAAGTTCTCCATCTGCCTCACAACCGACTACAAGCCCTACCACCACCCAGGAGACCATTGAATATCGTCCATTTAACACTTCAGGGCAACATGTTGACCACATTGCCAACCAGTTTTTTCGCGAACACCGAAAAGTAAGATCGACCGTATAGTTTCATATATATATATATATATATAATTCAAATTTCGCTGATAAATAAATCCATATTTGCGTTTTAAAATTATGACAAGAACACACAATAACTGTAATATATCTTATTTATATATGCAATAATTAATCACATTATCAGATCTGAAAAGAAAGATGTTCTCAAAACACATATTTAACCGTCGGAAATAAAGTTACGGAATGGAGTTACTTTCATCGTAAATATTTTGCTCGCAATAGAGTTTAGACTTCGAACTCCTTTCCAGGATGAAAGTTTTAAACCTCTCCAACAATCGGCTCTCCGAACTTCCGTATCGCGAAGAGGCCGGCAAAACTCACCAGGGATCGCACACCTTGGAGAAATTATATGTCACGGCAAATTGTCTGACCGATACCGCTCTAGATGCTCTCGCCAAGTTTACGTTTCTGAGAGTTCTTCATATCGCTTACAACACCCTGGACACGCTTCCGGAAAGGTGAGCCTATTCTTCTTTGTAAAGGATACGGGGAAAAACAACGATAATTCTATATCGGCTATCAGATAACAAAAATAACGGACGCAAGATACGCATATATAAAAAACAAAAAAGATATTTCAGCAAACTAAAAGTATTATTTGAGTATTGATATGGATAAGATATTCGAAATAATTTTATGACGTTTATCATTAAAATTGATGCGAAATTCTGCAGTTGCATAGCTGCGTGGGGCGATCTGGAAGAACTGGTGTTGTCCGGAAACCGATTGCAGTATCTTCCGGATAACGTGGCAAATCTACGACATTTGCGCGTGCTGCGTGTGCATTCTAATCGGCTATTAACGTGTCCCACCTTCAGTAGAACAACGTCCTTGAAGGTAAGATTCTAGATACAAGGCGTACTAATGTCATTTGTATCAAATAATTTGCATAAGTAAGGCGCGACTGATTGCAATCCAAACTTTCATTATATTCTTTTATTGATTCTTAAAAATATTAGTTAATTCTATTTACATATATAGAGTTGACTTGAGACAAGCGGAAAATTGCAGTAATTAGTTCTTTGAAACTTTATTAAATATAGATATAAAATATATATATAAGTAAAGAATATATAAGTATATTTTATAAAAATGCATAAAAGCTGAAAATCAAGCTAAAATAGAAATACGTGAAATTTTTAAATATTTTTTTCTCTTTTTTTCCCCATTTTTTTGTAGCTTTGTTTTATTATTTGAATTTTTAAATCATAAAAAATTGTATTTATTTATAACTGAATTTATTATTATATATATATAATATCAAGGTCTTATTTTCGTGAAATATATTTTTGTTATCACAGAACAATTTTAATAGAATAATTCTGTAGTAACGTATAAATATACTTTATAAAACTACAATATTTGGAAAGTGACTGTTTTTATAAATAACATGTGTCAACGTAGAAAAATATAAATACAAAGGGCAATAAAAAATATTAATAATACATATAGCTGAAAAATAAAAGCATAACAAAATGAAATATTTATTTCGTCCAGGTGCTGGACATGGCGCACAATCAATTGGACAGGGTAAATCTGGCCACGTTAGTACCACCGCAACTGCAATTTCTCGATATATCCTGCAACTCTCGACTGCACGTGGATCCGCGACAATTCCAAGACTACCGATCCCAAAGACCGATATCATTAGTGGATGTGTCTGGACAGAACAGACCCAGTCTGCCATCTCATCCGCATCAACAAGAAATCGTTGCGGCGGAAAAGAATACCGAACAACCATGGCGATTGGGTTTCTCGGAAACTGCCGGTTCGCGTGAAAAGTAGGATTATTTATTTATATGTATTTATTTCCTCAAGATAGATAAATTGCAAAGGATAAATAGATAAAAAGACACTATTTACACTTATTGAAAGAAATTTATTTTTACAAAAAATATCACAATACTTATACTTATTTCCTGCGAAGCAAATAACTTTATATTAAATTGTGCATTTCGACAAGCTGGAAATCTCATATTTGCACATATTTCCCAAGGCTATACATTTCCCAAGTGCGAATGCCGTCCTTTTGTAACATCGAGGGTCTGTTCGGCATATTCGACGGTGGTTCCAACCAGGAGGCACCTAGCGCCCTTCAAGAAATGATCCCTCGTCTCCTGCTGGAAGAACGAACGATCCGAGAAACATCAAAAGAATATTTGAAATACACCCTGCTGTCGGCACATAGGGAGCTCAAAGAAAAGGGCCAAAAGTACGGCGTAGACGCAACTCTGGTTCACGTAGTAAAACTGCCGTCGCAGCAAGGATATCCAAAATCCTCGACCAAATATTCTCTGAGAGTGGCTTCTACCGGAGAGGCCAAAGCTGTTCTCTGTCGAGCCGCGGGTCCCTTGACCTTTGCCAAGTTGAAGAAGGCTCAAACAGTTAAGAACCAACTTGGTAATGCTGCCATGTTTCCATTAGTGCTGCCTGATCCGATATACGAGGAAGTAACGCTGGAGGACGACGATGAGTTTGTCATAGTCGCTAATCGGAGATTATGGGAGGTCCTGAGTGTCCAGGAGGCTGTGAGGGAGGCCAGAGCCGAGGCCAGTCCTGTTCTGGCCGCCAAAAGGCTTCAGGATTTGGCGCAGGCTTACGGCGCGGAGGACAATTTGAGTATCATCGTCGTCCGATTGGCAGGACCAAGTCCGGGCGATATGGATCAGCTCATGCGTGAGCTCAGACATGCCGTTGGTAAAAACAGGAGCCAAAACGATAGCGTGTGTCCTTGTCCTTGTTGCGTGCCGCCAGCGGCACATAAGCCACCGGCTGCCTGCTGCTGTCACGCGAACGAAGGCTATTATCTTAATGGCGTGTTGAAGAATATTGTAGGGAGGTGAGGGAAATACACATATGCTGTTCCAAATTACGATGAAAGATAAATTGATATCATGAATTTGTACATCAAAACATCTAATAATAAGATAAAGTAATATTTATACCAAAAAATCAATATTTATACCTTCAAACTTTCTGATAATTAATTATATGTTTTATATTCTATAATTCTATATTCTGAGTCTAAGCATTTAAATAATCATTTTTTTTTATCCTGAAAGAAATTTTGCCTTACACATTTTTATTGCACAACAATACGTCAATTAAAAAGTATCGATTAGAATTAAGATCTTAATTTTTGAAATTATTACAATTATCTCCTTTATCGGAAGTTTAAATTTCTTCTTGTTCTTTTTACAAAAAATTATGTATGTAATTTTTTTACTAGAACAATTGAGAACTGAGAATTTAATTATTTCTAAAGAAAAGTTTCGATATATTGCTATAAAATTTATTTCACGGCATTTGCAGATCCAATAAGGTACACGGTTCCGGAAGGTACTTCAAGAACTCCAGATCGACGCAGGAGAACGAAAGTCCTCCATACAGAGACGACCGCAGTTCGCCAAGTGGGCAGTCCGATCAAGCCAGTGACAGCACTTTCAAGTCTCGTCATCCATCCGGAAGGATGTGGTCCGGAAGTGCGGCTGCCAGGGCGACAAATAAGGCTCATCAAAGTGTTCTCATGCAGGAAAATGGTCTTCGAAAAGTAAGTCTTCTTACTCGAACTTCTTTGTTGATACTCTTGTGCGAAAAAATATTTTTACAAAATCGTACGTTGGCAAAAAATGCTAAGGTGGTCTTACTTTTTATTGAGGCAGCAAATGCAGCAATAAAATTGGTGACAGTTTAATTCTTTTATGTTCAATCAAATATACACACACAAGTTTAATTATAAGTAAGGAATATAGACGTAAGGTGTAGAAAGCATAAATGATTTTTTTTTATATTCTTTATTTCTCAGGCATCACCTTGCCTTCCTACGCAAGAGGATGCTATCTCGGAAAGATCCAGCGCACTCAGCGAGGAACAATTTCGTTGCTGGGAATATATGCTCGAGCAGAACACTCAACTGTTATTCGACAAAGAGTTGGACACGTTAACGAAGGCGCCGTTGCATCGCGGCCAGTCAAGGTCGACGCCGCAGCTGGGGAGCAATCTGCCCTTCCTGTCGAAGAGGTTCGGCAGCGCCCGATCCTTCAACCCTTCGTTACCACGACCGCCGATGGTCCGTTTCGGCAGCGGACGAAGATTGCTGAACGGCGGACCAAACGCCGCCTACTTCGGCAGCCTGCAAAGGCTGATGCCGTACAATCTCGAGTATGACTTCGCCGTTATCCAGGAGAGAAACGGCATGGACTCGTTGGAGCAGGATGCCACGAGGATGCAGCAGTATTGGGGAGTTGCCACCACGGAGCTATAGATGAGGATCTGCATGCAAAGATACTAGGAATAAGGTAGAAGTGCAAAAAAGAAAAAAATCAACAATTCGGTACTAGATGTCACCTAAATGTGATAACGTTTATGTAAATATTTTGAAGAAGTTTCCTTTTTGTTTTATGCATAATGTAATATGCGAGTGTCGTGCCAATGCGGAAAGCATATGCAGCTTTCATATCATTGTCACCGTATCTGATTGCGGAGTATAGTGTGGAAATTCGTCGCGTCAAACTATTTACAGATTAAGGCGATAAATTAATTTGCACTTACTTATCAACAATCCAATGTAACCAAAATGATTTATCGTGGAAGGCTCGACGGTGCAAAGTAATTACATCTCTGTACTCTAATTAACATCAGCTGACAGAGTAATTAATGGAATACAATGCGACGGAGCGAAGAGCTAATCGTCAACAAACGCGCGGTAATATCGATCGTGTTGATAACAATGGCACCGCCAAGATAAGCTATGAAGTTCCTCGAATCTTGTGCAAGGAAAGACGGCGAGATTTGTACCGCTCACTTCGGTAATTCGCTCGTTTATTGCAGCTGATACGCGTGCAATAAAGGAACGGCGGAAACCACTGTGCTGCCTTTATGCTACACAAAGCTCGCCTTATTTCTTTATAACGGTAGACACGCGGAAGATCTATATCTGCTTTATTGCGGAACGACTTTACGACGCTGAGTGACTCCGCCGTAGAAAATAAGCAATCGAGGAAAATTTGTTTCTTATCTTGTTAGAGACTAATTTAAATATTTTAAAATTCTTATCTATTCTTTTTCTATTAATGCATTGTTACGATTTGATCATACCCGCCTCCTTCCCCTCCCCCCCCCCAAAAAAAGAGATCTCTTTACTTTGGTTTAACTGTTAAAAAACATACAAAATGCTTCCGGATCTAGTATTAATTGTGCAAATTAAGAATCTAAATTGCATTTCTATTTATTCCTTTTAACGTATCGATTCTTTTTGCACAGATCTTTATACGTTATCTCGCAAATCTCAATTACATATAGCTCGTTGCTCCATATTTTTATGTTTAGCATGTTTAGTATTAGACATCGTTGTGCTTCGTATTCTTTTCTTACAAAGTTTAGAAATATCTTTTGTACATAATTAAATATTACGTGATAAGTACAATTTAATATATCTCTGATGTTGTGACACATCTACGATAAACTATTATACAATACCAAGCAACACGTGATACCATTGACGTGTGATCTCTCGTGCTTTCAATTACAACATGTACATTACGTGTTGATGTTTGGCTTACGATGTACAGAGTGTCTTTAATGAATTACATCACCATTTGTGCGATGATTCTGTGTGAAATTTTAAACATGTTACATTAATCAAAATATTGAATCGTTATTTTATAAAAATAAAAGTTTAATATAATCGTATATTATGAAGAATTGTAATAAGATATTTGAGTCAACAATTCTTACAATTCTTCATTCCATCGATTCTTCTCCAAATCTGCTATTTTTCTGTAATAGTTTATGATTTAAATATTTTACATCATTAATTCGTTTATTGCAGCTGATACGCGTGTAATAAAGGGATCGCGGAAATCATTGTGCAGCCTTTATGCTACACAAATACGATGACCAGTAAGTGAAATTCAGCGTTTATAGAAATTCTATTTGACCACAACAATTGGAGGTTGAACACACTGTATATTTACAGTGTGTTCAACCTCGGAAGAAAGATTAAGTCGTATCACATGGGTGATCAAAGAGCATGCTTCCGAAATGAATTTCTTTTCCTTCGCAGTCCCTATAATGCGTCATTTGAGAATATTTCATCCCTCTCCGTAATCGGAATTATGCTCTTCGATGAGAAAAAATCACGCGAAGGAAATAAGTGTAAAGATATTTTTTTATTTTTTTACGTAATATAGAATACCAGACGTCTAATGGACATCTAATGGATGTTTTGCTCCGTATGTGTCCTGGGAGAAAGTATGTTTCAATAAGAAGCTTATATTTGTTTGAAATGCAAAAGTTCTTCAATCGCAAAACAAGTTATGTATTTGAAAAGAGCAATTTATAAAAGAAAATTATTCTAAATTCTAAATTCATCGATATGATATAAAAACAGAAACTGATTATTTAATATTCGATATAAACTGAATCTGCAAAACAAACTGGGTATCTGATAAACACAAATAGTGAAGCCCTTCAAATGTATCAAAAATGCTGTTATCGGCACACTTTCTCCAGTGTACCTCAAAACTGTACCTGAGGCTGGACCAAATAAATCATGGCACGCAGTGACCCATTGTTGTCAGAGCAAATAAACTATACATTGCAAATGGTGGCGCATCCAGAATTTAACGAAAACATTCGGCATTTTTTTTATGCATTTCAAATTTTGCGTTTGAAACTTCAAATATTTATACAATTTCTTAAATGTTTAAAATTGATATGTACACATTTTGAAGACGGAATATTGATCTCGTGACTTATTCATTTGTTTATTTTTTATTCTTGCTTAATTTGTCCTCTCAACCGCAAGCACAAGTAATCGAAAGCATCGCAATTTTCTTTTTTCTTTCTTATTTCGTCAAGTTTCAAGGGACAAGGGACAACTAAATTCCGAAAAAATTGCGCGAAAGACAAAAATAAATTATTAAGGGAGAGAGAGAGGTTTGTAACGAGGATCCTGCAGTAGAACTCGCCTGAATCCACCACTAATTCTAAAACACACCCCATTATTACATTCTAAACTGACTTCCTGTCCATCGGCGTGTCCGCGCGATCAAATAATCGCTTCCTTCCGCGACTCGATGAATTGCGACGGATGAATTTAACAGACGGCAATATTACGTTCTGCCCACCGATTAATTTCTTCGCGTTGACCTTGGGAGGCGTTATCTTATTTGTAGCGTGCTATTATACCGATATCGCTTCGAACTTTTCTCTTCGAGTCACGAAAAGAAGCCAGACGGTAGGAGATTAAATACTGTGAGACCTTTTTTACTTTTATACGAACCGCTGTAGAAATAAAAAACAGAGGAGATATTGCTCGAAGTATTTAAAGTCCACTCTTTTCTTGCAAGAATTTCAAACAAGGCTAATTAGCATAATATTTAATGTAGAAAATTAAAAGTTAAAAGAAAGGAATTTTACAAAATGTAAAAAAAAGTAGGAGTATTATACAAGATTTTACTTCTGGATTAATTTCCCATTAACAGGAATTTAATTTATATGATATTTAACATTGAAAAATATTAAATATTATTAAATATACATAATAAACTGAAGATTTAAAATCAATAATTGAAAGTTAAAAACTAAAAAATTGCTATAAATTTTGATAATATTGCAACTTGTAACTCGTATATTTGATTCAAAGTTAATAATTTTTAAGTTTTATTTAAACCTCTTATAAAAAAGTCGAATATGTTTTAACACTCCGAATGTAGAGTAAGAGTAGGTTCAAATTACACGTGAGGGAGAATAATCTTACTGATTCAGCACGTGCTTTTCCTCGAGAACGAGTCCACCGAGAGCACGATAAGCAGTTTCTTTATCAAATGGAATCTCTGGAATCTGTCAGTTATTTTAGCTGCTATCGGCAGCTGTCAAATTATGCTGGCAAACAATCAATTAACTGTAATTCGCGTTTGCGAATCTCTTGATTACCGAGTAATCTATTTCGAACGGTAGTTTTTGTTCAAAAATGAATATTTTAGATCACACGATACTTCCGTTCTTGCCACGACGAATATTTTTGCTGCTTACTGTTGCTAAAAATAAAATAAAACTGTTGGCAATATAAATGTAGCATAAGCAGCAGAATGTACCTGTCCCATTTTTAGCTTGTCAATAATAGTAGACGGCGTCATTAATGCTTTCCTAGCTGTGTTCTGGGGATTTCTATAGTGCACGTTACATGTACTATATAAATGTCTTCAGGTGGAAGGCATTAATGACGCCGTCTGTACAAAACTAGTTCAATTAGTTTGTTAAAATTATTCTCTTGCTAGATAAGGTTTGCTCATTTGTTTAGGCAAAAAAACCAACGATGTCAAGTGTTTTGTTAATTATATCATTAATACGACCGATCATCAGTAAATCAGTGAAAAATAAATCAATTAACAATTAATAATCGGATACGATTGGACAGGATCGAGGAAAGTGACTCATATTATGTCTCGATATTTTTACAACGTAAGATAGCGACAGTTTCGTAATCCTCCAAAGACACGGATGTAAATGATCCAACGCGCAACAGGGCATCAGTACACCGAGTCGACGCAGTCTGCTATCGACAATTATCGCCCAAGCGGATAGCGCAAAAAGAAGTTAAATGCCTCGGCTTGCGGTTGGACTTGTTTCTTTGATAAGCGCCGAGCCAGTCGGAAAACAACGTGTCGCAAATAAGCATATCGAAGTGTAGTGTGCAACTGCAACAATCGAATTTATCAGAATTATCGCTCTAAATCTGATCTCATCGAGGCCGCGATCTGTCGAAATCGAATCCCCAAGCTAAAAGAGCGCGCGATATTTTTAAGTGGTTACACAAGAGTATCCTAATGACGATACGGCGACACAATCGGCCTGTACTACCTGGCACGAAGATAACAAGATATCGAACCTTCCTCCCGACTGGAGACATCAATATATCGACGTCCCCAGGTAGAACATAATGGCTCGTCTACAATAGCCGTAAGAGTATGCAGTAAGCTATTGACTAAAACCATAGTCTCTGTTATTCTTGAATTGTAAGAATCTTATTAGTCAATAGCTTACTACTTACGTATTACTGCATACTCTTGCGGCTATTGTAGACGAGCCATAAAACTGACGACATGATATATAGTGATAACGTCATCGTGACTTTATTTGTCACTTGAAAAATCACTTTAACGCCACTTTGACGTCACTTTGATGTTACTTTGACCCTCATCGTGACTTTTCGCTCTGCTTGGGCTATGACTCATTGTCAGAAGAGAGAATACTGAAACCATCTCGCCAATATTAATCGGTGCTCATCTGCGCGTCGCGACGCTCCTATAGGCATCTCTACCGAGTGCACCGATTTATTTCGCAGATATGTCTCATAACTGCAGAAACATCAATGTCACGACGGATAACCGAATAGGACGAAAGGAGGGGAAGCGGAATCGTTGGAACGAAGCGATCGAGGAGCGAAAGCTAGTAGCACTCGAACGTTCGCGCGCGCCAGTACGTACGTTCGAAGCGATCGCGCAGTTAAATCCGCTTTTTTTTCTTTTGCATTCGTTCGCGATTTTAATTCCGGAAATTCTGACCGAGAGAGATAAACTCGTCCAGCTCGTTCCCGAAAAAAAACATAAAAATAGAAACTCGCACGTTTGACATCGACGCGGATCGAAGAGATCGGCGATGATCGATTGCGGTGTCGCAGCCCGGTGCGCGATGCAGCCCGCCGGAAGTTAGCACGTGCGCGGACCACTGTCTTGCAGGTGAGTGTGGAATGGAAACGACGGCGAACGGTGGTATTTATCCCCCCATAAATCGAACGGAATTACCGGAGCGCGAGAAAAAGCCGCGAGACACATATTGAGAGGGCAATTGAGAGAGATATAACGTATTCCCGGGATCGGCGCTCGAACGATTTTGATGTATCTCTTTCTCGTATATCTTTACGCAAAAATTATATTGAGAGAAGAGAGAGAGAGAGTGGCACGTAAAACCGCACGAGAAATGAAATTTACTGCGCTCGTC